TCCATATTTCTTCAACCCTTGCATGTTACATTAGTCATTGAGAGAGATGTTTTCCGTAGAACTAAGGAGCCAGTGATCACAACAATATTATTGATGTCCCATTCTGAGAACTTGGGATCAAGTGGATCAGGCTGCTGAATTTTACAATTAACATAACCTAATTTGTTCCTTCAAGAGATATTGTAACCAAATGAGATCATTGTAGGTAGGGACTATCACTGAATTTCCAGTAGTGACTTGCAAATTAGGGTTTTCAAGGAAGTTTGATGGGACTTGCAGTTTAGCTTTCTGAGGAGCAATAACTGATGAACTCTTCTCTTCCATAGCAGTTTAGTAAATAAAATATCAAAATAATGTTCTTAAATCAGATAAAACCCTAATATATGATGAAATGGCAAAGAAAAAAGATTGAAAAGAAGATGGATGCTTCTCAAATCAGAGGAGATTTCACCTAAAAATAGATTATATTGAGATGAACCAGTTTTGTGAGGCAGAGACTCATATGTAGGTGCTTACACACCTGAATGTGTTGTCTTGTGCAAGCTCTAGATTGGCTGTGTTGTTGATGCTCAACAAAAAGAAGAAAAACTCCCTCCCTGTCTTGCTTCAAATCGTGTTTCTCTTGATAATAAGATAAATGAGAGGACTTACAGGAGCAAGATTAAGTTGGCTTGCTCTGATATCATGCGGTGTTCTTTGATATTTGCACAGAGAGGAAAACAATAGGTATCATGAGTTTGGAAGAAGTGGAAATAGGGCACCTTGAGCTTCTCATTAGATAATATACTTGCAGTGTGACAAAAAGGCCTTTGGACATGTGTTGGAATCTGGTATAGAATTCCATTTCTAAATGAAAAAAACATATATAGTTATTAGTATGTAACCTAGATGTGGTGCCACAGGAGAAGCTCTGGAAGTTTTTTAAATCATGAGATGAAAGATGTTCTTTATGTAATGCCCTTATAGTAGGCTTTTACTCTATGGTGATGGTGAGGAAGCATGAAAATGGGATCATGCTAGCAAACTCCGGAGATTAAATAAACATATTTTTGTTTAAAAAATAGGAAACACATGCATTTGAGTGAGATTTATGAAAAACCAGAAGTGTTATTTGCGTAAATTCATTAGCGGGATATGTTCTCGATGCTCCACACGATGTTGAGGATGGAAAAAAGGAAGTATGCTTCAAATATTGAAATATTGCAGTGAGAAGTTGGCAATAGCTTTTGGTGCTCCAGTCCAGGTCTTTAAGAATCTCAGGGCATGAGGATTTTCAAAATGGAGCCAAAATTCAAATCAAATGCCACGACAACGAAAATAATTTTAAAGGATGCAAATCAATTCCATAGTTTCAAAAAATAAAAATAAAAAGAGGTGGGGTGGGAGGGGGGTTTGTTGTTCTTGTGATGACTATTGGTTCTTGCTAAAAGTAAAATTTGTTCCCATGTTATTGCTACTTTTTCAAGTCGCTGTCAAATTTCAAAGAAGAGAAACTAGGGCTCCTCATATGTATTAACGTGCAATAGTTCTTAAAAAGCATGTTTACTGTAATACATTTTTGCCAAAATATGGATATGCCTATCTTATTATTGTGGATAGTTAGCTATGGGATTTTAGAGTGGGTCGTGGTGTTGCAGTGGTCAACACCATAACCAATTTAGCCTTGCTGGAATCCAAAATATGTACTTACTCATTTTTGAACTTTCTATAATATTTCTCATACATATACCTTATGTCATTTTAATGAAAATGTCATCATTCTCAGAAGGACCATTTGAGACTGATAATCTATTGTCTAAACTTTTTCATATATATATATATATATATATGGGTGTAGTTTGTATAGAGCCTAGGCTCTAAACAATCAAATTAGAGCCTACCTTCAAATAGTGTTGAGAAATATGGTTGGAAATCTTTGTGATAGCTTTAAAATACATTTTCATCTTTATTTATAAAGTTTAAAGCTTTAAAGATAGTGTAGATCGACATATCTATGAAAACTTGAAAATTAAACTTCCAAAAATGCATTACAAAATACGCTATTTTCAAAACTTGAAATCGATTTTTGTCTCATGTCTATGCATCTTGATGTTGAGATGATCAATTTGATGATATTTAGGCATCAAAACAACCTCTTCTAGTGAAATTTTTGAGGTAGGCTCAAAGTTGATTGTTTGGAGCCTCGGCTCTTAAAAACTTT